GCCAATTTGGAACATGGAAAATTAGGGAGGCAAGTGTTTCTTTACCGCCCCTTAGAGACTACATAAATAGACCTTTGCGATCTTGTTAATTTTCTTAAGACATCAGAATGTATATAAGTAGAAGTAACATCAAACTGCCATAGGATAAACCAAACATCCGATAAGAGGCAAAAGTTGTCATGATTTTCCTTTAAAATACTACTGCAAATGTTGGTTGGTTGGTTGTAGAATTTCTTACATATATTTACAAAATCTCGATTCTAAGAATTCGACCATCCGCTCGACTCCCTGTCGGTCTTGTTGGTGCGAACACTCGATGGGAACACCCGATTGATTCAATATTTGCATAAAATATTTCTACCATGCCTTTCTTGAGTTCGAAGATAGGTATTAAACACCCGATATTTTGGACACATAACTTGCACCTAGATTGCTATCATGCACCTCGAAAACTTAATTGTTTTATCTTCTGGATCAAATAAAGCCTCGATCATGGAACAGCGAAAACGAATACATTGAAGATGAGAAATTGACGAACTTTTTTGCAAATATCGCGGAGGAAAATCGATGTTGTCTCTAAAGATAATATTTCTGCCAATTTGTTTCTTCCACACCAATTCTCTAATTATGTCAAGGAAAGCTTAACAAAATTACCATTGGATTCCGAAATATAGCTATACTAATATCTCTGTTAGTGTAGAGAATGTCAAGAAAAATATATTATCATAAAATCGGTCAGCTAAACATTTAAACCCTAATTGGCTTCTCTAAGGAACCTATTTTAGTTAAGTACACATTTATGTTGTTTGTTTTTTAGTTGGTTGTCACTATAATATTGAAATGAATTGTTACATTTTTATACCCTACAACACTATGTGTTGGGGGTATTATAAGTTTGATTGGGCCAAAAATTATGTAACACCTCGAAATATTGGTTTCCCACATAGGAAAGTATATATGGATCTTCCTAGCTCGCCGAGCTGAGTCGATCTAGCTATGTATGTCCGTCCGTCCGTCTGTCCGTCTGTCCGTCTGTCCGTCTGTCCATGTTAATTTGTAATCACTCTACAGGTCGCAATTATGGCCCGATCTGCACGAAATTTAGAATGTAGGTGGGGCTTGGACCAGAATAGAACCCTATTGCTTTTGGAGATGATCGCCAAATGTTTAGGGGTTGAAATGGACCAAATACTGAAAAAATGTCGGATTTTGCAGTAGCTATACAGGTCGCTATTATAGACCAATCGACGCGGAATTTCGTATGTAGCTAGAGTTTAGGGCGGGGAAGAAGCCTACCAATTTGGGTGGTCATCGGATAATATTTAGCGGGTAAAATAGACCATATATTTTGTGTTGAAAAAATTCAAATTTTTTCATTAAACCGCGAATATTTTGAATCCCGGCGAAATCACAAAGCCATGACAGGGTTACTTCTCATCTTTACATTGATGTTAACATCCAACAAATCGGATATATAGCAAAATATGTGCGATATATATGTCTATCAAAGGAGATATGCTTGAAAGATCTCTTATATGTCGAGAACGGCTGAACTGATTTCGACAGTTCTCATTAATTCAGAATGGAGTCTTGGCAGGAAAAAAAAACGTCAAAAAAAATCGCATAAAAATATCTCTCTTAAGATGAAAATATTGATTTTGTAAAATTTTCTCATATTTTTTTCAATTTTGTCATATTTTTGGCATATTTTCATTTTGAATTAAACATTTGGTAATATTTCTACAGCTAACAAAACTAAGTAGTTAGGATATCAGGATATCATATACAGATCTCATTTATGGCCCGATCCTTACGAAATTTTGCATGGGGATAAAATGAGGGTCAGAATAGAAGCCTACTCTTTTTGGAGATGATCGCCATATATTTAGGGGTTGAAATGGACCAAAAAACTGCAAAATTGTCGGCAGGACGTAATTATCGCCCGATCCTCACGCACATTTGAATGGGGGTTACCGCACATTGCAAAAGCCAAGCAGTTTTGGATGGCCATCCAAAAATATTCAATGTGTGAAGGAGTTTGCCAACTTTTGTAGACAAAATACGAAAATGTCCATTCCAGTGACTTTTTGGAGAATTCCCAAATACAGGAAAGACGCACTTCTGACTATTTCGTTAACGCTGATTTCGTTGAAGAATATAGTCAAATGTCTGTATCTCATATAGATGCGTTTCAGTCAAACACCAATAATAAATGTTAATCTTTTGCACTTCTGAGAGGTTATAGGTTTTTGGGAAATATTGGTTCCAGATCTAGGAAGACCATTTACGTGCAACATCTACCAATAAATTGGAAATGAGCAAATTAGTTTAAGTTGCTATTATTCGAAAATTAGAAAACGAAACCTGATGGTTTTCTTTTATTATTTGTCACAATATCTTGTGGAATTCTTTCGAGTATTTCGCCTATATAAGCTGTATGGTTTATTATAGTGTTGTAGGGTATTCAACGGTCGGCCCCGCTCGACTGTAGCCTTTGCTTACTTGTTATTCCATAGCTCTTTACAAACAGACACATGCATGTAACTGCTGCAACGCCTGATAATGAAATTTAATTAAATTTAATTATGTAGGTATAAAAAGTAATAATGCCAGACAACTTTCCCAGGTGTAAAGCAAAAGTTAATAAAGCTTCATTATTTGTCAGAATATTGTTAATACATACATTGTTTCATATTGTTAATGTGTATGTAAATACAATACATTAACATAAATATGTTAATGATGATTTAACATTAATTGAATCATGTAATACCTTTATTTATTGACGAGTAAATACAAATTGATATAATAAACTTGACATTTTTTGCAATGGCATACACTTTGGATCCAATGGGAATTAAATCAATTTCATCAACATGTTCGGAGGACATAAACAGGTGTGTGTGTGTGTGTGCATGTGTGTATATTGTGCCAGACAAACATCAATTATAAATAGATTATGTCAATGATTCATGTAATTGAATGGATTTTTTTAATGATGAAAATTGTCTGCAGCATGGAGTAGTTTTGAGTTGTATTTTGCAAATTGGTTGGTATAATATCGGATTGAAGTTTCAGAGGCGGCTGTTAGAGAAGTTGTTTTAAGTATTTCTTCTAAAGAAACTGACTTCAGGGAGACTGACTATGACGTGGGCTAAGAAGACTAACAAGTCTTCAAATGTTATCTGCTATCTGTCAGATAACATTTTGAGAAACAACGTGGAAATACAAGACATATATCATTTGATTTCTCTTATCCTTTTTATATCCTCCACCATACATAGTATGGACGGTATATTAAGTTCATCATTCTGTTTGTAACTAATCGAAATAATAATTTTAGACCTAACAGAGTATATATTTTCCTGATCAGCGTAAAATTCGAAGACGATTTAGCCATGTCTGTCCGTCCGTCTGTTGTAATCATGCTAGAGTCAAGACGAATTAAGATAAGATTTTGCACAGATCAGCCTTTCGTCGGCAGGCAGGTTCGAAGATGGACTATATTGGTCTACGATATAATATAGTCCCCATAGAACATAGAATGTAGATATTTTTTCAACGAAAATTTAAATTTTTATTGGGCACCACAGCCTCTGACAAAACGAAATTGTTTATGCCGATACAATTCTTCATTTTTCAGGTTTTGTATTTGAATATTTTAATGGTATAAGACAACAAAAGTTGCCTATATAAGTCCACGTCTTCCTATACAGGGTGAGATGAAAAAAATACAACCAACTTCAGACTGCTGTCATTCCTAAGCCACTCGTCCGACAGCTGTTAAAATTATTCCAGTGACAGCTCATTATATTGTTTATAAGCGTACAAAAGCATTTTGGTGAGAATTTTCCAGAAAAAAAGATATTCGTGGACGGAATAAAAAACAGCAACATCAACAGAAATGGTTCGAACGACTTGATCGAAACCCGCGTCGGAGTGGCCGAAAAATGGCTCGTGAACTGAACATATCGCAATATTCCATTTGTCAAATATTGAAAAATGAGCTTGGGGAAAAGCCATTGAAATATCAAAGAGTGCAAGAACTTACACCGCAAGAGAAAGAAAATAGACTCAAAAGAGCTAAAGAGTTGCTTCCCTTGGCCGAAAGTGGTGAAATGCCGAATTTCGTTTTCTCCAATGAGAAAGCATTCGTTGTCCAGCAGTTTGCAGTTGTTTACCTGTCGAAGAGGTCAGCTGCACCTTCAGTTAGCCACCAGAACTCAAGTTATGGTAATGGTGTGGGCCGCCATAATAGCCGATGGTCGATCTGCGCTCGTATAAATCGACCATGGCATCAGAATAAATATCGAATATTATAGCGAAAATATTCTGGAGGGTGTATTAAAGCCTTGGGCTTGCAAACATTTTGGCCCCAGACCTTGGACATTCACACAGGACTCAGCACCATCACACTGAGCTCGCGCCACCCAAGAATAGTAACAAAATGAGGTTTCTCGCTGCATTTCCAGCGCACAATGGCTACCAAAATCTCCGGATACCAATCCGTTGGACTATTGTGTTTTGAGTATTTTGAAAAGCAGGGTTGGCACTAAAAAATACCAAAGTGTCGATCACCTCAAACAAGCGCTTCGCCGGGAATGGGCCAAAATACCGCAGAGCAACATTCCGGTAACATTTGAAGGTTTCATTGGCTGTTTGAAGGCCATAATTCGTGCCAATGGTGACTAATGCGAACAAATATAAACTTATTACAATATTTGATGTTATTTCTGACATTTTTGCTTTTATTCAATGAAATTAAAAAAAAATGTAAAAATTATGGCGTTTGACTTTGTTACAGTTTTTTGTCTCACCCTGTGGACCACAACATAACGGCGACTTTCCATATTCGGTATTTTTAGGATTTTAGCAGAATTTTTAACGGATTTAATTTATTTATTTATTTATTTTTTTTTTTTTTTTTTGAAAATTTCACTTGTTTTAATATTCAATATTGGCAACAAAAACTTAATATTATTCTACTTCTGAAATTGTAGCAGCGAAGAATTCTACCAGTTCGGCCCAAGAGACAGTACAAAGGAATGGAGAGTGAAAACCACTTCATCATGAAGCCAAGGTTATTTTGGGACAACAGGGATACATATGCCAGAGGTGAGTCCGTTTGTGATTTTATTTTATTCGAAAATAGGAATTTTAGGAAGGAATTTTAAAAATGTAATGCGAGGAGCTGTTGGTAAAATTCCTCGGTGGTTTAAAAAAATACTAATTAATTAATTCTTAATAATTTTTGGTGATATTCTAGTGTATGCTATAAACATTCTTCGAAAAACTGGTTAAAACTGGCTAAAATCTCAGCGGGAGTTAAGTAGATTTTGCAAAATTATCTAAAAAGCAGTCGATATAACATCTTTTGTTCTTATTCAGAAAACCGCAGATATACTCTAGAAATTATTTCCTTCAAATTATTTCCTTCAGAATCACACACTAACAATTTTAATTATATACAGAATCACAAAAATTAAAAATTCTGTAATCTCCTCATTAAAACTTAGTTAAATGTAATTCGTTATACCCCATAGATTAATTCATTACACACGGTGATCAATCATAACACAGCAGACTAAAAAGACATCGAGGACATTTGCTACACTCCAGACAATTGTCAAAGCAAAGCATTTGTCTGGAAAAAATAGAAAAAACGACGCAAGCAGGGAAAAAACGTAAATTATTTTCGAAACAACGAAATAACACAACTATGTTCCTGTGAATTATGTACCCCGATTTAAATTGCCTGCTTTGTTATAATGGACAAATTAGTAGGGGATGAAATGGGACGAATCTAATGATAGATGATAATCTGAAATGCCGTTATAATTGTTGTGCCCTTATTTTGCTTGAAAAGGGAGACAATATTTCGATGGTAGTAAAAATCCAGCCAAACACTGTTGATCTTTTTGCTAATTTTTTCTCACCTTTGTTGAGGCCAAAAACTGGATGTGGCACATTTTTTGGGGGTTGTTTTCATTCATAGCACGCATTATGCGTGCCAAACAAATTGTCTCGCTTATTCTTTACAATATTTTGCTTCCAAATAATGACGCATTCATTCAATTGCTGATAGAATTTGCTATACGTTTGAATGTTTATAGAATTGTGATGAATGGTTATTTAAACATCGCCAGTATTTACTGACAATTTTTAATGACTTCTAAATGCTACTTTCAATTGCCCATCCTGCATCTGTCCTCAATTATTTTGTATGATTTTGGAAGTGGAGATTTTGGGTGTAATTATTTTGGTAATATCGACCGAGTGAAGGGAGTTGTTTCCGATCGTCTCTTATATTGAAGTTTTTGGATTATTATTTTAGGTATAAATAAAAGGTAGTTTAATTTTTGATGAGGTTTTTTCTTGGTTTCGAAACACAAAGTACAAAAGCAGTAAGTTCGTCCATGTCCCACTATGAATTCCCTCCACCACTTGGAAAGAATTTGGAAATTTTAAAAAAAATTAAAAACACGTTGGAATTTACAGTTAAAATCATAAAAACACCGAATATAGGGAGTTACCGTTATATGGGGCTATACGAAGACCTGAGGCTCAATTCTTGTTCTATGAAAATGTGAAATGAAAACTTTTATAAAGAAGAAAAATGTCAAATGAAAAAAAATATAAAGAAAATATTTTTCATTTCATGTTTTCATAGAACAAGAATCCAGCCCCTGGACTTGCATACAAACCGGAAACACAAAATTTAAAACAATTCCGGTGAATAATGTCACAAAAATCATAAAAATGCGGAATATAGGGAGGAAACGTTGTCACAGGCTGTTGTATCCGTTACGAACTGCGAATACGAAATTTGAAACAATTCTGGTGGATTATGTCGGTAAAATCATCAAAATACCGAATAAAGTGAGGTACAGTTATATGGGAGCTATACCAAAACGTGAACTTATGTAGCTCAATACCAAAATCCTGCTGACCTAACACGCATCTTATTATAGTTTTAGCGACCTACATCTATTCGTTCGGAAGCTACATCGTTAAATTGACAAAGAATTTTATGTTGATCAATAAGAGGTGTTACAAACGGAATGAAACTTAATGAACTTAATATACCCTCCATACTATGGTGAAAGGTATAAAAATAAAAAATGTTTTTTTTAAGTTTTTCCTAAACTTTATTATTCGCCTTCATTATCAGTAACGAAAGGGATAATTTTTGATTAAAATTTTCACATTTTTCAAACTTTGTGCCATATTTGGTACGATTTTCCTTATCTTTTGCTTTCTTGGTCATGAAAACTAAACAACAGGACGTTTGCGGTCGATTTATCAATGTCCGTCTGTCTTCAAACTTCAAAGTATTAATATTGGACTAAATCAACGATTTATATTAATAAAAGAGTTGAGTGATTACTTCACCGATTGACTCGTTTAGGACCAGACAAAACGCCCTGAATTTTGGGTGAGAATCAACCTATGGTGCGAGATAAGGTTGGTGTAATCGAAATTCTTCCTATTCAAAAATATACTAATTAAGTTGCCGTTAATATTGAGCGATTGGAAATGCTCAACCTCTGAATTTTTGTGCGTAGGTTTGTCTTGGAAACGAAAAGGTGTACGGAAAAAATCGTACTGGAAGGTACGAAAATAACTTACAGTTGCTAAATATGACATAATTTGTATTGTGCAAACGGATTGAGCAAGAAATTTGAAATGAGTGGTCACTGAGGGAGCACAAATATAGCAAAGAGTTTTGAAGTGTACGATGAGCAATAAAAATTACTAGTTTGGTACCATGATGAAATTTTTTTAACGAACAGATCTAAAATGTTTTTGTAGATAAGTAGATGGATTTGGAAATGCATAGTATATACGATAAATACTTAATTTGGAATTTAGGATAACTATGAGTGTGTAGCTTTTGGATAAGGAGGTGGATATGGAAATTCGCACTATATAGTATACAAAAAGTACAAAGAGGTACTAAATTTTGGTATATAGTATTGCAAAAATGCTTGAATTGTACATCTTGATATTGGGATCGCATTTACATAATTTGGAGATGATTTTGGAAAAAATTACATAATTTTTACGAAAATTACTAAGGTTCAGTGTTTGAGTGATGATTGGAAATGAAAACACCATTCGAATGTTTTTTATATTTTTAATTTAACGCAACAAATAAGTATGAAATCTTTTTTGGAATTGTGTTTCTTATTCGCATTCTCCTTACGGGAACAGGCGCCAAATTGTACTGTGAGTGTGTAGCATCCAGATAAAGAAGTGGATTTTGAAAATAGTCTTACATTGCGTAGTAATATATTCTGGAGTTTCCTACGCATTTAAAATTCATCCTTATTTAAAATTATATAATAATAATACTTCGTCGTAAGTTTGAAAATAAAATCAAAGTTATCTTTAGATAATTGCCATTTTCGCTAACGAAATAGCGGCTCTTGCTAGTATTTTTATAAACTTAAGTCGTGTCCGGAGATGGGCAATATCAGTTTCTGTTTTTCTGGTACATCCACGAAAAAGGCTCAAAATTTAGATGAGTTAAAAGTGAGGATCCTCAAAATTTTGAATATCAATCTGAAATCAATTTCCGATTATCTTCTAAAAATATAGCAATATTTTCAGTAATATTAGATCTGATGTAAAGATGTGTCAAATACTGAGGCACGTCTCTGTCGAAACACCGACTAAAAGTCCTTCTGTCAGTTCATGTATTTTCTTGAACAAATTGCAGGTCGCGTTAATTCTCGATTGTGATGAAATTTTGCGTGATGATATGTTTGGCCCAATGACGAACCCTGTTGAAATTGATAATAATAATTTTTTATTAAATTTTATTGAATGAAAGCAAAAAATGTCGGAAATAGCATCAAGTTTTAGAATAAATTTGGATTTGTTCGAACTGATCACCTTTGGTACGGCCAATTCGGCCTTGATTTGGCCAATGAAACCATCGTACGTACCAAAATACTACAGACACAATAATCCAACGGAGATTTTGGTGGCCATTGTGCGCTGGAAATGAAGCGAGGGACATCATTTTGTAATCATTCTTGGGTGGCGCGTGCTAAGTTCGATGGTTGGAGTCCTGTTGGTATGTCCAAAGTCTGCGGCCAAAATGTTCGCGTGCCCAAGGTTTTAATACAATATTTTTGCGATAATATTCGGCATTTATTCTGATGCCACGGTCGATTAATACGAGCGGAGAGAGACCATCGGCTGTTATGAGGCCCCACACCATCACCATGGCCGGCACTTGAGTTCTGGTGGACAACCGAAGATGCACATTTTCCGCTTACCTCTTTGCTGAACAACGAATGTTTTCTCGTCGGAAAAAAACCAAATTCGGCACTTCACCACTTTCGGTCAAGCGAAGCAACTCTTCAGCTATGTTGGATCTATTTTCTTTCTGTTGCGGTGTAAGTTCTTGTACGTTTTGGAATTTCAATGGCTTAACCCCGAACTCATTTTTCAATATTTGCCGAATGGAATATTGCGATATATTCAGTTCATGAGCCAGTTTCGGCAACTACGACGCGGGTTTCGATCAAGTCGCTTCATTATTTTTCGAACCATTTCTGCTGATGTTGCTGTCCACTTCCTTGACGTCGAGCTAAGCTACCAGTATCACGGTAACGAGCGATGGTACGAGACACAAAAGATTTATTCACATTTAAATGCTGGGGTGCCCTAACGATAGCCACTTGTGGGTTTCCAGCCCAATCAATCGTACTCAAAAAGAATACCGAAAGGGGAACGCTGTTATGACAGTCGCACCGTCTCCGACTTTGTAAAACATTTAATTCACAATCACAATTTTTAAAAGCTTTGTAACACTCCTTTTAGTCCCACAAACATATACACAGAAGATCTCACTCAGCTTTAACTACTCTTTATAGTTTTATTGCAGTTAAACAGCTTCATCTATTTTTAGATAATTTTTTATCACAAATTAGCCCATTTAGCCCTTGCACTGTACTCAATACGAAAGCAACAATTTTCAGTATTAATATCCATTTGACACGAATTTTCAGATTTCTTTTGACGTTCCATTTTATTAATTATAGACATTTCCACATTCTATATAATATGTTATCTAGTACCATTTATTACGCATCTTCGGTAAT